CCCCCCTCACAGCCAGGCCGCGGCACGCAGGGTAGCCGTGCGTGAGGAGCCGTGGCACGCTCCCACACGTGTGCGTAGGTCACGCGAGGACCGAGCGCTAAAACTAGCCGTGACATGGCTGCTGGGTTGGGAAACACACTCACTGTTATAGCGTCTGTAGCTGTCAATCTTTGCCGGTGCCACTCTGTACAGAAATGCCCCTTCAAAAGCAGATTTTCCTGACAGCAGGCAAGAGAAGGAAAGAGGATAAAAAAGAGAAGGGGCAGGGGGGAGGAGGAGGAATCGAATGGCAGTAAAAGAAAGGAGAGGAAGAGGTTTTAATCTGTACTTTCAGTGACTAAGATTTTAAGCTTTATTAGCAAAACAACGAGAATGTTAACCAAAGTATCTGTACGTGAAGTTAAAATATTCTTAAAGCACGTAGGTCAGATGATAGAAGAATCTCATGATTTTGCTAAGGCTGTTCTTTATCACGTCCAACAGAATGCTGCGCCTCTCAAAATTTGTCTCTTTAATTTAATTAAACGCTTCAGTCAGCTTGAAAAAGGCTAAAGCTTGGAAAAACCTCTAGTGCTGCAGTGATGTACTCACGCTGCTCACACTCCTGATGCACATGCAGTGCACACGAACCAACACAGCTCACATCCCAAAATCGCATTGAAATGCTCAAATTTCTTCACAAGACATGAAACCTGTGAGCATTTGAAATACCTCATCTTTCCCAGAGGACTTACGGGAGATATTTTGGAAATGGGACTGTCTTTAGCAATATTTAGCTCAAGAGATAGGATAGCAAATTTTGAATAAACCATTTTTTTTTCAGCCAATAGCTTAAATCAGGTGTTTTGATTCAGCACACATTAACAAAAAAGCTCAAAATACTACCACTTTTCTAAAAATGCAAACAAAACCCACTTTCCATCTTAGATCTTTTATGTAATGTTTTCACCAAAAACATGGATCTCTTGCTTAAAAAAAAAAAAAAAGCGTAAAGTTCAAGTGAAGGGAAAGGGCATGAGCAGTATGGGTTTTTTATTATTACCATTTTTCTTTTTTTTTTTTAACCTGGGCAGCACAGACAAGAACAAGCCTATAAAGCTGTCAGCTTGCTGCCAACCTCCCCTAGATGCACTGTGATCTCCAGTACAATTTTACAAGAAAACAGCTAGCACATGTGAATTGTCTCAATATACCATCACATCCAATTTGGTATCAAAAATCTAGATTAGGCTTTTCTAAATATCATTCTGTTGGACTTTCAGAAAACCAAAAACTATGTTCATTTACATAATATAAAAAGCAGTTTGTTTTGTTCTTGTTTTTTTAAATTAATAAAAAATATTACCCTGGCCATGTTTTTACTTAATAAGGAAGCAAAAAAAGGATCACAAATCTATTTTTCCATCTTGCTTTTACAAGTCACCTTCAAAAGAACACTATTAAAATATAGTTAAGCAGTTAAGAAATCACAGAAAGATATGTTAAGCTTCCTGATGGTGAAGGCAGACAGAAAATCTGAGATTGATAAATAAAGTTTAAAGAAATAAAATACAGTATTGACTACATCATCAGTCTGTCATCAGTCCTGGCTCCAGTAGCCATGACCTTCTTGGCCATTGCTAAAAGGCTCTAAATATATAGGAAAAGAAGCCTAGCAATTTCTGAACAGGCACACAGCAGAGACAGCAAGATATAACAGGTCACTTTAAATGGTGGGGCATTGCCACAAACATATCAAAATGCCTTTGAAATCTTCTTCCTAATACTAAGCTCTGGTGCTTTCACATACTTTGCATTTGATTACATGATAAATTCTTTGCTTCTTGAAAGGCTATAATGACAAGATGTGGTGTTTGAGATACTGTTAAGATTAATACCCCATATCTGAAAAATCTAGAAAATAAACAAGCTTGTAATTCATGTATCCATTTAACACAGTAATAAAATCATAATGTATACTACTTGTTCATGCTGTGCAACACTCCTTCAAAAGAAAGCAATGTTTTAATTCAAGGTAATGCTTTAAAGAACAAAGAGCTGTCATTCACTCCAAGGGCGACTGTAAGGGAACCTGCCCCTGTGCCTTTGAAGACAGCAAATTTGGAAGCTGTCTTACAGCTGGAACAAGCAATTATTATTTTTTTATTATTTTTATCTTGTAACAACCTCTCTTTCCAATCTGCTGAGCACTCACCATCCGAGGGGAAATATCGATTCCAAATCCCTCCAATAAAGGGGCAAACAAGTCCTACTACCAGACTACCAGTAAGCAGCAATATTTGGCCACATCCAAAAAGATGAGCCCTTTTCAAAAAAGTGGCTTTGTTGTGAAGAAACTTTCCTAAGGTTACTCTATCTCAGAGTAAGAAAAGAAACAAGGATAATTCCTTCCAGCCATTTGCTCTGATCTGCCATGAAATTGCTGCTTTCCTAGATAAAATAATGAAATAATAAGAACAGACAGAATCTTTCTCTTCATTGGACCTACATACCTAAGTTCCCATCAACTGTATTTTGTATTTCATACAAGAGAGAGAAGCTCCCATATAAGTCATAAAAGGACAGAGAAATACACATATTTATTCACCTCTGTCTAGAGAGGGTCAGTAAATGTAATTAAAACCAAATCTAAATAATGCTTTCATGCTTGCACAGCACACTTTGTCCAAAGCTCCCATTGAAAGCAATGGTTGGAATCATTACGGTTGGAAAAGACCTTTGAGATCGTTGAGTCCACGCTGCTTTCCCAAACCTGGCAGCAAACCTGAGTTGAGGGTTGCTGCTCAAGACGTCCATGCCAAGCCCCGCTCCGGTGTAGGTCCCTCCAGCAGCTGTGCAGAACCCCAGGGTTCTGCCTCAGTGCACGGGTCCTGCCACCCCGAGCTGGCTGTTCACCCAGAAAATAACGCAGTAATCTGGAATTCCCATCCAAGACTCCTGTGTTACAAGTCCGGTGATACAGACTGTACACTTAATGAAAAACTGTTTCCAGAGAAACATAAAGGAGCTATTATGGATTCAAGATACTGTCACATCTTGTCATCACAGAGGAAGGAGTTGATTTAGAGGCATCACTGTACACGCTTAGCAGATGCTACCTAGAGCATTTCAACAGGTGTACTGCATTCATGCACAAATCTTGCAGGACTTGCAGCTTTGTTTTCTATTTTGTTGTATTTTAAGAATAAACATGGATACATGAAATTTATCATAGCCAGTTACTTTTTTTTAATGCAAAATATACAAGCTACTGAAATTTCAGCAATCTTATTAAGGAGATTTTCAAATATAGATAATCACAGTACCTGAATATACCTCATAAACCACCATGCGTTAGAGAGTAGTATCTGTAACAACTCCAGAAAACCATCTAGAAAGAATTGAGTTGATTCATAATTCTGCTAGGGGAATGCGGCTCTTAATCTGACGATGTCAGTTTAAAAAGAAAAAACAAAACCATTAAAAATCCTGCAAGAATCTCAATACTCATTGAGATCCTCTCTCTTGCTTGGGGTGTTCACAGTATTCTTCTGTTTTACAAGAATTCTGCTAAACTAGATCCTGAATAGCACATGATTTTAGCTAGCTACAACAAAAGGAGAAAACCCACTTCTTAGTTATAGCTATTTTCAATTTAGTTGAGGAGGCAAAACCAAGATTTACATTGACAGTATCTTCTCAATACAAGCCTTACAAGTTACACGTTTCACTGATGGTCAGAACTGATGCTTTGAACTAACGGATAAGCAGGTGCTGCAGGGACCTTGGTGAAGCCACCGAATGTTCTGTGGCTACTTTCACAGTCTCAAGTGGATGTTTTTATTAAAAGGCACCTTTAGGAGGCTCATTATAAACTAATTTTTACCAAATTACCTGGGGAAGGAGTATCCTTTCATTTGGACAGATGAAATCAAAGACTCCACCCCGAACATTTGCACTTACCTTTATCATTTATAGAGTATTAAGTGCTATAAAATGCATGGCTGAAACTACATCTACACAAGCAGTTCTTCCAAGACTCACTGCATTTATAATGAAGAAATACTTCATAAGTTACAGAGAGCAGTTTGCCATCTCACTGAAGTGTATAATTTCACTTAATGCCCTCTTGCCCTTTCCATCACACTAAAATTTTTAACTCATATAAAAATAACTTCATTCTGGCTTAAAGCAATGGTAACATTATCACCAGCACTGACCACATGGCTGTGTGACCAGGGCCACTCACATGAATGCTACTTCATTATAAAAACAATATGAAAAATTTCATCATCGCGAAAGTCGGACTTTTTGGAATCTCACTTCTGTGGGATGGAATAAAGCTGATAAATTTGCCTTAAATGGAAAAGGAAATAAACGAACTCTAATGACTTTCTACATCTCAGTGATATGGTGAACTATAAATCAGACTTTGGGAAGTTTTCATGGAAATAAGTTAGCAAAATTCTTGGAGGGCCTGTCACTTCTGGCCATTGCAGAGATCTTGGAAGACTACACAGCAATGAGCATCTTCACTGCTGAAAACAGTATGCAGGCTGTAAAGAAAGAACTGGGCAGGTAAATGGGAAATTATCCTGAAATATGTAAATAGAGTTTTTTTTTCCTTTTAATTAAATATTCTTGACTTAGAAGATAACATCAAGAATATCTGTTTGAAAAACAGGAAGAACAGCATGACCAGTAAGTTGCCCATTTCTTATGCAAGCATATTTTCAGTTCAGGTTATTCTTCAAGGGAAGTTCAAAATAAGACAGCCCAATACTATGCTTAAGTATTGCAAACTTAATTACCAAACATGCTTTTCACCTGCAGCAGTACTGGCCCCCTGTAAGTGGGAGAACAAAGTCCATGTCCCAGCTCTGGCCTTTTCCCCTTGGGCTGCAGGGGCAGTGGGTGACGGAGGTGATAGTAATATGCTCAGCACCTGGAGGGAAAAAGTGCCGCATGTCCCACACCAATAATTATGAATCTTAAACCTACTGGAGTCATTAAAGAAGGCATGGCACTTTGACCCCTTGTGCAAATAAGCAGAGACACTTTGTAGATCTTTGGTTATTATCTAGTTATTGCTCAGCTTCCACCTCCACAGACAGAAAAAAAATCGTTTTGAAATACAAAGCCAGTAATTCCTCATTGTCTTCTGTGTTCTTGGGCTGTCACAGCTGGGCAGGTTTTAACACAAAGTATTACAACTCTGACAGCACTGCCAATATGCACTGAGCATCATCATCTGACCCTTTCACAGCACGAACCAAGAACAAGGCATTTGAAAGCATTTCCAAGCAAGAGGTAAGAAGAACTACCCGCTCAGGACATTAGGGGTGAGCACAGAGACATACATACAGAACGTCGACAGTGTTTTTTCCTTACTTGGCTTTGCTTGCTCTTCCAGCGCTATTCCAGCATCGTCAGATTCAGCCAGCTCCTTTATGAAGTTGGAGGGGAACATGCCAGTCTTGCCATTAAGGATGCCTTCCCACCAGCCCTCCTCCACCTGCACCGACAGAAACAAAATGCATGTTTTAACACAGCGCTTTAGAGACTGCACCAAATCCAAGCTCTTCAACGAAAATGAAACCATGATTCTGAGCACTGACGACCACCTTCTTTATGTGTGACTGGCAGATCATAAGAGCTTAAATTCCTAAAGGAGGCAATGGAGAAGAAGCAATGCCTGCAAAACATTATGCAGAGAATCTAAATTAGATATCTGAATTTAAGTCATGTGGCTATTTCTGCTTTCCTCATCCTAATCAGAAATATTGCATTTTAGAAATTATTAATTTTGCCACTTCATTAATATATAAAATAAGAAATATACAGAGAATAGAAAAAAAATGGTACTAAAGCATATTCTCCCAAAGTTGTTACAAGGGGCTGCTAAAATAAATAATGGTCGGAAGGAGACGAAACATTTCCCAGCCCAATCCCAGGAGAAAAAAAATCACGTAAAAATGACTAATTGCCCCCGTATAACCTGTTCAGGATGGAAAGGCAGTGTCATGCTGTGAAATGACAGCTCTTAAGAAACAGATGCCTTAGGTTAGAGTGGGCCAGAAAGAATTGACCTATTTTATGCATCAGCTAAGCGCATCCTTGACAGATAAATACATATCATCTATCAGACACTGTCCCATCACCAAAAAAAATGACAGCATCAGTCTGTGAAATAAGAAACTCCAAAACTGCTGGACCCATCTCTTTCCTTTGTCTCTCCCCGGAACAAAAATTATGAAAACAAGCAAGTTACTTTACAAATTAAGTGCATTCACATCTACTGTTAAAAAACGACTAGCCCCACATCTTAAATGGTACCAGTTAATTACCATTAAGAATGTCTGTTTCATATCACCTGTTAACATCTCAAGCTTTTACAAAATAAATCTGTTATTTAGCATCTTCTCATTATATAATATATGCAAATATTTCCTCAAGTACAGAGGAAGAGTTTTTTTTTTTGTTCAGCTTAGCCATATGCTGTGATGTACAATTCTACTAATAAGCAAATTGCTTTTACTTCAGGAATGTATTGTGCGTTTTCTCTCCAGCTTCCCTTCCTAGTGCTTTCATTTTCTTTTTCTTTTTTTTTTCCTTGCTTTAATTTCAGCATCTGTTCATGAAAAAACAAAAAAGATTTTTTTTTTCCTTTTAAATGCATCAGTAGTGTCAGGAAGGTCAAGCACAACTTTGGGATTAACAGTTACAGCCATGCTGCTACTTCCAAGAGCAGAATACATACAAATCACGCAATGACTTAAATTGAGAGCTTCCACACGATATTCTAAAAGGCTCTAAAAAGTGATATTTGTTTTTGTTCTCTCCAAAAACTGCAAACCATAGGGAAAATTGAAACTGTACGATCCACTGCAGTTAGTGGAATCTACAAATTCTAATTCTTATCTCTATAATTAGATATGATTACACAGAAAATACACAAAATGGCCACAGGTCATTGGACTATAAAATATTTCAATTTTTCTAATGCATTATTCCCAGATGACACTATTGACTGGAGCTAAACATTACACCATAACTGCATTAGCCGATTGAGCACAAGATTAATCACAATGGAGTTACTCAGTTGAGGCCCCCACTTCAAAAGATGATGAGATTACTTAGTGAAAATATAGAGACCAGTACCACTCAGTTCCATCTTTTTCCCTCAAGTAATTTTCTCCCACATATTTCTTCTAGCATAATACTTCAAATTTTTCTTCTAACATGCTCTTAACATGGCATGTTTCTGTGTGTACCTCCATTTACGTATAGAGAAATAGACATACATGAAGGTCTATAGATAAATCTGAATTGGCCATGAATATAACAAAGCCTTTCTAAGCTTATTTTAAGTTTTATAGCTAATATGAGAATGAATTATCTGAAATTCCATAAAAGTACCAATTAAGAAAAATCTGAAGTCAAAAATAAGGTCTTCCCAAAATAAAAAGCAGAATGATGTTAGCATGACACAGGTCCAGGGTGAACTGGACTTCCCAAGGATTCATTACAAAATCTTCATCAATAATTATAGTATTTTTAAACGTTGTAGCTACATGCTTTTACCAATCTCAAAACACCTCAACTAGAGATTAATCCATAAAACAAAAGAGACACTAAAATGCCCCAAGGATGTAGTTATCCCAAATTGAGGCAATCTATTGCCATGAGGCTTGAAATGTCGCAGTAACTCCTAGCCAATAAACCCTTACGAATGAAAATGCATTATTCAGGCCGCCAGGCCACGCGGAGGAACAAGCACTCAATAAAACCCGACGCTGCTCTAACATCAAAAAGTGCTTTCAGGATTTATACACATTGGTCCCAGTTTATGTGCAGCACTCGTGCTAACCCAAAGGAAGCGCGAAGAGGAGGACTTCCACAACTCAGTGTCCTTCCACCAGAAGAAACACTCAGCTATTGAGAGCATCCCAGACACCAGACCTGTGAAGGCTTTGCTTTTAAGACAGAAGAAAAGTTGTGTTTTGAATGCATTGCATCCGCTCGCTGCGTTTTGGAAAGGCATGGCGTGTCCCCATCCTGCCAAGCCTCTAGGCTGCCAGTGCTGCTCTCACCCCATGCTAAGACCAGGGGTGCTTCCTGAGCCCACGGCATCTGTTTATGGGGGTCACACATTCAGCCACCTGCAGCTCCGTCGGTGACAAACATGGGGCAGGGATGGCCCCAATAGCCAACAGCTACGCTCAGCCCCGTCACTGAGACA